CCCCCCCCCCACATAGTAAAATGACACAGTGAGGAGAGGAGTCTCCCAGGGGACTGAGTTCAACTTGAGTACAGCCAGCTTCCTCCCCCCTCCAGCCCTCCCTTCTTTCTCTCTACTCTCCTTTCCACCATCACCATGCCCCCCCCCGGCCGACATGCACCATTTCCAGCGCAGTACAGTACATATCCATATCTTCACGTGTCCTCTCTCACCTTTCATTGCTAGCTTCCAGGAATCGTGTTTAGCTCCATGCCTGCTGGACGGCCAGACGGGGATTAGCCGCCGCTTGGGCTCCAGACGTCACTCTTTATGAATGTTACGCCTTCCTATAACAGTTCGAACTTCACAGTGATTAATGTCGCCGCCGTGTGTTTCACTGGGGCTCCTGTGCACAAATGTTTCGTCTTCATCTTTCCTGTTCCTTCAGTCCTGCTGGATGGGATCAGGTTTCTCATCCAGCTGCGCAAGCATTTGCCTGAGGAACAAGGGCGTCTCACTGTACAGTAAATATACACTGCAGTGAAATAGCCTTCTTGTGTAGAAAAGCGCCAGTAATCGATCTCTGCATTTATTTTTACAATAAATTTGTGTCAAGTAACCGTTTACTATCTTGGAGTATTATGTTACCGGATAATTAATATTCTGTATCTTTAAAAATAAACCTACATATGTATTTATATAACTGTCCACCTACAGTACATCCACATACTAGTCAAAGCAGTTCTAAAATCTTCCAATGCTTTTTTGCTGTAAATTTTTGTTCTGCTTCCTATATAAAAAAGAAGATTTGTTATGGTAAACATCTTTCTGTTAAGCAGGTGTGTAAAAACTTAACTAATGTTCGGAAACATTATGACAGTTCAGGACAAAGACATAATTGAATTCCTGACAGCGTTGCTGCTGAATGCTGGGAAATAAAAATCCTCTAATTTTGTGTTTCTTTCCCATATAAGTATGACAGTCTCTCCAGCGACTTATCTGCAAGCGTGCAACCTCTTCATGCACTTGACATGTTCGGTTTGTCACGGGTGGTGGGAACAACACAATGGAGGATTTATAATAAACATCGTTCACAGATTGTGTCCCAACACAGTGCATTTCAGCCCTGTCCACTAACACACTGCACTTACTGAATAAGATACGGGCGAATGATTTCCCCGAGGTTTGCGGCCTTATTGCTTCTGAAGAACTTTTCCTTTTCTGCCCCCTGTCTTTCTGCTGAATTGTCTGTATCCGCTTATGTGTGCTGCTTATTTCACTTCCCATGAAAGATGTGAAAAACTACAGAGCTGTTGTTACACTGCCCAGCATCTCTTTGTCTGCAGTGTTGCTGTAACCTTGTGCGTGATTGAGAAGTAGTGGTTATTAATTGAGGTTACTTATCTGATAGCAAAACATGAAGAATTTGGGATGAATTATCAGATTTTATTTGTAACTTAATGAAGGTCTTCATCATGCAAATGGCTGTTTGTCTTGAGCACAAGCCTAGCTCCATTGTCATCGAGCTTTTGTTTGTATTGAACATGGACCACATTTTCAACATTTATCTTGATCATTGAGCTTCTGATCCATTGTCCACATTTGCCTCCATCCTATAGCCCTCATTTGTCTTGAACGTGGACCCTATTGTCCACATTTATCTAGATCCCCAAGCCTTTGCTCTGTTCGTTCCACGTCCGTCTTGAACAATGAATATCCACTGCCTTGTCCATGTTTGTCTCGAACATGGACCCAGTTGACCACGTTTGTCTTGAACACTGAGCCTCCGCCCCGTTGTCCACCACTCACACACAGCAACAGGAGCAGGACCCCACAAACCTGTACATCTCCAACCTGCCACTGTCCATGGACGAGCAGGAGCTGGAGGCCATGCTGAAGCCTTTTGGCCAGGTGATCTCCACCCGCATCCTTCGCGACAGCAATGGGACAAGCCGGGGCGTCGGCTTCGCCAGGTGGGTGGAGGATTCACTCCTCACTCTGTCATTCTCACATTTGTCTTCTAATGCTGCAATCTTCACTTCCCCTTTTTCATTCCTGTTTCAAAGGGTGACAAGACTCTCACTGAGAACATTTTATGGAACCTTTTAGTGCAAAAAAAAAAAAATCATATTGACCTCAAAATTAAACCTGAGGCAAAAGACTTAATTTAATGCATCATTTGCAGCAAATAAGATTAATAAGCATTTCCTGGATCCATCCAGAAAATATTTCAGTAGTTCCTGTTAGAAGGGATCTGACATCTAGCTTGAAATTTGATTTATTAATAGGTTACAGCCTGAAAAGGGAGATTTTTTTTAAGATATACAGGTGAAGCCTGAGAAAATGCTGACTCCCACATCCAGTGGAAGAAAGTACATGGTGTTCGCAAGCTTGATCTGATGCATAACTTCTGGTGAAAGTAGATTTTAAGATTACCCTAGGAACAGTGGTTAGGAAATGTTTACATTATTGCCCCCTTTTGGCCATAAGTGGGATTGCATTGACCTGAGAGACTAAGAAACTTAGATGAATGTGTTTGGCTTGCAGGATGGAGTCTACAGAGAAGTGTGAATCCATCATTCAGCATTTTAATGGCAAATACATAAAGACTCCCCCAGGAATACCAGGTGAGATTGAAGCTGTTTTCTGTGGAGAAGGGAAAACTTTTAGAGTTGAGAGTTTGATGTCTACTGTGATTTCTGATTATGTTGAGCCTTAAACTCTCATTTGTCCCCACAGTGCCTACAGAACCTTTGTTGTGCAAGTTTGCTGATGGAGGGCAAAAAAAGCGGCAGAACCAGGGGAAGTTCCTTCAGAATGGGAGGCCGTGGACCAGGGAATCGGAAACGGTGAAATGCTAAAGGCTACCAGCTAGAAGATGCACCCACAGCCTGTTAAATTGTTAATCTGTATGTAAATCTTACTGGCTGAGAACAGACATGTCATTGCAAACCAGTGGTGGAAAATTCAGGTCAAGAAAGTAAAAATCCAGTCCTGGATTTTGTTTCAATCAACCTGTTGAGTATAAGGAGTTACCGTTACAGAGTACTCAGCTGTTTGGTTCAAACAAAATCTTGGCCTGGATTTTTGGTGAAATTAAATGGGAATGTCGCTCTTATATGTAATAACCAGTGTTATCATTATGCATGGTTTTGTTTCCTTAGGGCGGAATGACATTAACATATGATCCAACAGCCTTACAGAATGGGTGAGTATAAAACATGTAGTTTTTTTCCTATAGCATTATTGTTTTTGGGGGGTTAAACATGATGATTGAAATGGGAAGCCTGAGAAAAATGGTTGAAAAAGCAGCCAATGAGGGGATGAGGTCTGTCCCCCATCTGTGTATGTGTAGGTCTTAGTTACAGCTCTACCACCAGCACAGACTGCGAGGGGTACAGTGCAAGGGAAATACACACTCCTAGTGACTGCTCTGGGATCAGTGTGGGCCTCAGCAATCCATTATGTTTACAGACGATGATTTTAAACAACTCAGCAATTTTTACACATTACATAAGTGATTCACTACAGCTATAGATGAAAGTCACTATTCTGGGTCTAGACCTCAAACCTTTTTCAAGGCAGCAGTGGTCTACACCGCTAGGTCAGCAGGAGGATGAATTTCAGTTGAATTCAAAACTTCAGTCCCCTCTAATGCTATAAACATATATGATGAAAATGATGAATTTTGTTCCTGCTACTTACATAGCAGCTAATTCAATATCATGCTCAGCTTGGGACCAGATCCCAGATGTTACCACCATCTCACCTGGGATTCAGCTCATCATTTTTGGACAGACTTTGTGTCTATCAGACATTTGTATATGTTTGTTTGTTGTTTGTAATTCAGTCATGAGTAAAGCATTCATGGAGCTTCTCAGTAGTAACAGTGAACCGGTAAAGACCAACGTCTGTTTGTCGTGTAGGTTCTACTCGTCCCCATACAGCATCACTCCCAACAGGATGATCGCTCAGACGTCCCTGTCGCCCTACGTGCACTCCCCCGTCTCATCCTATCAGGTAAGAGAGCTAGCATGCGCCCAGGGTCCTAAAGCCCACCATTTACAATGCAGTCACAGATGCCGTGTAAATTTACATTTTACATTTATTTGTAAAATGTAAATTTAAAATGTAAAATATACAACCCCCATGGAAACGTCCCTCCGGTGAGTGTGAGATCCTTAGGTGCCTCTCCTGAAGCCTCTTTGGTCGTCCGCAGATGCACAGCCCTTCCTGGATGCACCACCAGTCGTACCTCATGCAGCCAGCAGTGAGTGACGCCCCGTAACATTACTCCCCCTGCACTCCTTATGCCAGCAGAGAGACCCAAAGGCTTAAAGATGCCTACTCTCATCTGCTGTCTGTCTACCTTTCTCTTTCATTGTCTGACTACCAGGGCCGGATCCAGGCACGGGCAAAGTAGGCAGCTGCTTAAGGCCTCATTCGGCACACGGGGGCCAGACAAAGTCATGAGAAAAATTTGATTGTTAGTTTTCTTGGTAGGGGGGCCCATTTCAGGGCCCCATTTCAGGGGCCCATTTCAGGGCCCACTTTGCCTAGAGCCCCTGAAAAGGTGGATCCAGCCCTTCTGATTACCTGTGTTGTCCTATTTGTTCACCTGTCTATTTCTCCACCTTTCTGTCTTTCCGTCTGTTTCTTCCTCTTTCCCTCCGTTTTCCTCCCCTCTTCCTGTCCGCCCCGGTCTGACTGCCTCCCTGCCTCCAGGGGGCGGTCCTCACCCCCACAATGGACCACGCCATGTCCATCCAGCCCAGCTCCATGATGGCTCCCCTGACGCAGCAGCTCAGCCACATGTCCCTGGGGAGCACTGGCACGGTGAGTCCCTCAGATCTGCGCATAACCAGGATCAGCATCTCCAGCTCAGTCCTTCACTGCTGGCAATGTCTCCTTCCTCTTTCTGCAGTATATGCCAGCGAACACAGCTATGCAAGGGACCTATATCCCACAATACACCCCAGTGCCTCCCTCCAGCGTCTCAGTAGAGGTAAATTTGGGTGGGGGGGCAGATTTCCATACAGTGCACATATTGGCATAATTTACCCAATAACTTCTTCAGAAATGTGGTCAAATCCTCCATCTTACAAGGTTTTGATAACTTGTATCATTTGTCAGATCGACAAAGTTCAGGATAAATGCACCAGTTTTTATCAGAGCATAAAGAGTCACAGTCGCTCAACTGGTTGGTAGAAACAAAATCTTGGTCTGGATTTGTAGCTTCTAGACCTGAAATATCCAATAGTGTAAATAGTTTCCATAACCCAGTTAGACTTTGGACTGATCTCTCTGTTTGCAGGAAAACTGTGGTCAGCAGCAGCAGCAGGTTGCCATGGATACATCCACAGAACACACAGGCTACTCTTACCAGCACAGCAAGTGAAGTAAAGGTAGGTTGAGTTCACTTCATCTCATTTGCGGCTCTTTATTAATGAAGCCTGCTGACTCTCTGCCCCCCCCCCCCCCCCCCCCCAACTCCGCCCCCACAGATTCAAACCCAGAATGGGCAGCTTGGAGCAGAAGATGGGCATTGACTCCACAAACTCCCTGGATGTCACACACCGGACTCTCACATGGAAGACGTGTTTCTTTTGGAAGACAAAAGCTTATTTCTTCATGGCTGACGCAGCCAAAGGTGGGGGAATTTCCGGGAAGGACGAATGATCTATTTTGATAAGTGGAAAAAAAATACATAAGGAGAGAGAGAGAGAGAAAATACAGCGAACCAACAAAAGGGGAAAAGACACAAACCTTATTTTTGTGCACGTATAATAAAAAAATCTTATTTTTAAAAAGCTTCTGGAGTTTCAGAATGAAACATGGAAAAAGTTGCAACACAAAGTGTCTTTTTTAGTTTCCTTTTTGTAAAATATGCAAACTTTTATTTGCATTTTTTTTTAGTTGTGTCTGTTTTTGGACATTTGGTCAGCTGCAAGAGGCGGATTTTTGTACAGATTCACAAGCTGAAACAATGAAACAATGCATTTTTGTCCAGTTTTGCAACGTAGTAGGTTTGATACTTTTATTGTACTTTTTTTTTTTAATTGAAGACAAATACAAACCAAACCGCTTAAATCACTGCTTCCGATCCAAGGCGTTATAAAAATCAACTTCATTGTTAAGGGCATCTTGGAAAAGGCTAAAGTTCATGTTTCCCTTAAAACAATTTTTCAAATTAGGAGCAAAAGACAATCACAGACTTTATTATTTATATTTTAGCCGCAGTTCTAATTTGTACTATTTCAATCGGCTGAATGAAAACGCATCACAACTAAAAGATATAAATAATTTATAAAAGTATGTAAGTATGTCACAGATTTAGTGTAACACACACACTTCCAAAAGAAGGCACTGAACCAGAAAAAACACAGTATGTTTGACATGGAATCGCTTAGCTAAATGTAGGCCTTCTGCGTTGTAGGGATGATGTTGAATGGTTTGAAATATTAAACCATATTAAAAAATATTCCATGTCATTGAGGCTTGTAATTAATTTAATTAATTAATCTTCAGACTAGTGGATCTTAGCCCGGACTGGGGGCCTTCTGCTGGGATGTCAGCGAGCAGTACTGCACTCTGCAAGCGGCTTCCTCAGACCGCGGAGGAGGGGTGATTTTAAGCGGCCCTTGTGCTTGTACTCGTCTGGTTTTCAGTAAATCTTTCATGCCGTCGGACAAGTAAATATGAACAGAACTGTACAAACCTAAAAAAGCTAAACTTTTGATTTAAAAAAAAAAAAAAAAAAACGTCAAAGTGAGGAGAGAAAGCGAGCAGACAACTTAAAGTCCTCTGAAGCTGTATAGTGGGGAAGGGATTGGGGGGGGGGTCTTTTTTATTTTTATTTTTGCTTTCACAATGCTGCTGTTTCTGTGTGTTAGTCTTCTCCATCTGTGATCTGGATTTTTAAAAATCCTTTTTTTTTCTCTTGGGGCTTTTAATTGACTTGATTTTTATTTTTTTTAATATATTAAATTTCTTTCCGATAATGTAGATCGTTATTAGTGAGTAACACTCTAGGAGATTAGCTGTTAGCCTTTGACAGATGCGTAGGATTTTGAAATGATGCTTGAGGTTTGTGAGTTTGTGCACAAAACCCAGTGTTTTCCCCACTTGTGTGGGTCTTTTATTCTTTTGTAATAGTTTAGATTCTTTATCAGTCACATTTGGAATCGAGCTCCGTTTTCAGTAGGGTCACCTCCGTCTCCGTCTCAGACGTTTATGCAGGTAAAGGTTAAACTGTCACATGTTTCTAAGGTTTCTTGGAGACTGTGACATTTCCATATGACATCCCAGTGGAGATCCAGATGTTGCATTACTGGTACTAAATTCAGGGTGCAAAATTCCAGCATACAAATTTAAACCCAGAAACTTGATTTGATTAGATTGCTATGGATATGTTTTATGCCACAAGTGTGCAATGTACAAAAGCATTATATAAAAAAAGAATTAATGTTTCACTCCGAGTTTATTCTATTTGTGGAATGTTAAAACATCCAAATCATTGAGGTCTTTTGTGGTAATTTGGCCTTTTCCTGTAATATTAAATTTTGTAGCTTCCTTTCTTCAATTTAGTAGAAAAATGTTGCTGGCCAATTTTTTTTTATATCAGGAAATACTTGACTTTTTCACATTTGGATAGATTTGGGACTTGGCTGATTTTTCTACAAGGGACTTTGTCTGTATTTACAGTATGTACAGTACAGTGTCTCATATCTACTGACTACACAAACTGCAGCTTCTTCTGCTTAATATTAAACCCTTGGGTCAATTAAATCTGACCAAGGACCAAGACATACAAGTGACTGTTGGCTGAGCAAGCAGCAAGTGGTGTTCTGTAATAGTTTGATCGTGACTGAAAGGCAAAGATTTTATTCTGCGTTTAAAGAGGAACGTTTATCCTTCGGGATCAGGGTTTATGCATTTTGGACTCACGAGGAATGGAAAGATAAGCTGCCCAAACCCAGGGAGACTTTGGGTTGATGTTGTGATCTTAAATTAAACACTGTTGAAGGACGCTTTCTTTAAGGTGGAAGACTGAGTGTAGAGCCAAGTCTCACTCTGAGCAGGAGGCCGCCTCCGCTCTGCGCTCAGCTCTGTGCTCCGCTCTGCTTTGCTAAATATTACCCTCTGGTGTACTCTCTGGTGTACCCTCTGGTGTACTCTCTGGTGTACCCTCTGGTGTACCCTCTGGTGTACTCTCTGGTGTACTCTCTGGTGTAATCTTGGTATGGAATGTGTCGCTGCTTTTTGCTTAAGACGAGTGAAATAATCACCTTCTTAGAAGGTTACTGATACTTTAACATCAAAGGGGACAGTATACCTATAAAGGATGATTTAGATCAATGGAAATGGGCAGACAGATGAGAAACCAGAGGGGCCAATTGGTTTGGTTACGTATACACGTGAAAAACAGCCTGTGCTTGTTTAAATTTCTGTACATATTCAGACCTATTTACCCTATCCCTGTTTAAGCATTTGGACTGTCCTCCTATATTAAGCTGTGTTTTTTTCCTGTATCAGTTTAATTGTGTCTGGTTTTGCTTGGTAATTCTTTCGGACATACAGTCAGTTCATATCTATCAGATGCAAATGGCCTCATGAAGGAAAAGTGTCTTTTTTATCTTATGATGTTATTTAAATGGAACAAATCAATCCAGCCACTATACTGAGAATATCGATACTGATTTTAAACTATGAAAGAACTATTGTGCTTAAATATTTTGCCTCTGGATCCAGGTTTAAGTCAAAGGTGAGAGCTTATAGTACATATTAGGGCTGCTCATCTTCCTAGCCAGTGTAAGCTGAGCTCAGTCGCCAAATTCATTCTGTGGCATATTTATTGGTTGTTACATGTAAAAGCTTCCATATACCTCAATCCTCAACTCTCAGTAGTTGGTCTACAGGCAGTAGACTGTGCGTATAGGAACAGTTCAGATGGTTGTGCTGGACAGTGTCTCTCACTTACCAGCCTTGGATTTTAAAGAAATCTGTTAAGGATAAGCTGCGATGTTCGTTCAGACCTCCTCTGCCCGACTTGGTGTAGCTTTAACCGCTTTATCTCATAGTTTTAAAATGCTTTCGCTGCTAATGAGGAACATGAGGAAGCAGTTTGCGAGGCTCAAGCCATAGTGGGTGTTTAAGTAAACCCATATTTACTTTCTAATTTAATTAAAGAAACAATATTTTTTAAAAAAGGCCGTTTAGGGGTAGACACTTCTGTCATGGTGTACCAGGCGAGCCGCAGCCTGTGTTTGAGGCAGGGAGCAAGAGATTCTGGTGGTTTTTACTGTAAAATGAGCTAAGTTCTTTGAGTCCCACTGAAATCTCCAGATAACTAAAACTGCACTTGATCATTATAAAAAACCGTCAATGGTTAGTAGAAATTGTTTGAAGAGAGTTAAAAACAATGTTGTTTTTACTCGCAGATCAATCGGAAATATGTGCCTTTGACATTGCCTATTAAATGCCTGTTCAGACAGCTGCAATTCTCCTAGAAACAGCTTTGACAAGAAAATCATGCTATTTCATCTGGCAATATTTAGTGGTTCCTGAAGGGTGAGCTGAACATTAGGCGTTAGTTAAGTCTTTACATTTCTGTGCTCCTCTCCCAGACCTGAACATCACCACACACATTGGGTGTCACATGTTTATGTACATTTGCATGTGTTGTACATAACACAGATTTTACAATCATTTTTTTTTTTGAAAATTTAATAGACAGAAATTGCAGTATCGAGTAAATATGAAAGGGATTTTTGCACAAAAATGTGGAGAGTGTTTGTGTAGCCTGTGTAGATGCAGGTTCCCTATTCCGGACTCCAGAGTCAATCACACTGGCTCCTGTTTTGCTGAACTAGACAGTTTCAGTGTCTTGTCTTCCTTCTTTCACGTGTCTCCAGGACTCACAACCACACAACTGTCTCATCTCTCACGCAGCCACTGCTCTCAAGCACTTTCCTTATGTACACAGGATTTCATTTCGTTGGAATGGTTCAGAGAAAAGCGTTGTAATAATCAGCTGGCTTGCTGTTTTCCGTCTTCCTGTGCCACTGTTTCTAGTTTCTCCGTTAATTGTGAGTGTGAGTGTGAGTGTGCACACACTCGTGCGCTTTCGTTTTTTATTACAGGGGGCAAAATCACAGCTTTAAAGACTTTTTTGACTTTTGGTTTTGCTTTTTGAATTTGATGTGTCCAGTTTTTTTTTTATTAAAAAGATCTTGTTTTTCACAGGCGTGTCTGTCGTCAATTTTGTTTCACCCCAATCTACATTGTGTTTGTTAGTAGCTGGCACAGTGGCCTCATACCGCCAGGGTTGTGGGTTCGAATCCCACCCCTGATCTGTGCCTGTGGAGGTAGTCCAAAGACAAGCAGTTCATTGGCTAACTGGCACCTCTGAATAGCCAGATGTTCCATGTGCTTCGTGATGGATTGGCACTCCACCCTGGGTGTCCCTGAAGCAAGTGCTTCCTAACCCAGTCCATGGGGAACCCCAGACATTTCACATTTTTGCTCTCCCACAGCTCCCAACACACCTGTACCAGGTATTCGGTGTTCTTGATTGGCTGGAGTCCGCAGGGGCTGGGTTGGCTAACACTGCTTTAAGCTGTCCAGGCAGCCTCCTTCCACAGCCAATCAGAGGACAGAACCGCAATATCTAAGGCAACAGCACTAGCAGCATCACCCTGCCCCACTGTGGTCCTGACTAGTGCTTAGATGATCGTGTAACTCTGGGCCGCAGCCTAAGCGGAAATGAGAAGCTCACAGCATCACAGCATCTGTGGGACCAACCAAATGTCACCAAATAAAGAGAGAAATCGGCATCCTACCACGCATGGTCAGTTTTTGTTGCCACAGTTTTCTGTGCTGTTATACATGTTAAAAGCCTTTTTAGAGAATAATGCTTTAACTTGCTTTCATTGTGATATTATTCACTTGCATCAGCCTGTTGAGAGAACAGCAGTCTGACACCCACCACCACCACCTACTGCTCCCCCCACCTGTGGGCCTGCCATGTGTAGGCGGTTCAAGCACTGTAATACAGTGACTCAGATAGCCAATCAGAGGACAGAACCGCAATCTCGTAGGCAACAACACTAACAGCATCGCCACTAGTGCATGCTATCAATGCAACAATTACCACATTCTGCAACATTTAGACAAATGTGACATATAAACTATCTGTTTGTGTATGAAAACAGACACAGCCATGAAGTACATTACTGTATTCAGCTCAGAATCACAATGTGGATTTTTATTTTTTAAGACACCAAACTCTTATCTGGATGCAGTTACTTTCTCTTTGTTGTAAGAGATTTGGCCTGGCAAACACTTCATAGTATATTTGAAACATGATTAAAGTTAATGATCATACTTCCTGATGGCCTGAGATAACAGAATTGAGCCAATTTGTTCTTAAACTGTGAAAAGTCTGTCTGGTGTTAGAAGAATGGAGGAGAACTGTATCCAGTGGAAAATCAGGTACAGTGGAAAATAATTCTGAATGTCTAAAGCAAGGGTAGGGAATCCTGATCCTGCAGTGCTGGTGTCCAGCAGGTCTTCTGTCCTCCTCCATGAGCTCCTATTTACCTGAGACCAGCTGTGGTTCATCAGAGACCAGGTAGGATGGAAAACCTGCTGGGTACCAGCACTAAAGGTTCAGGGCTACATATCTAATGGTCTAAAGCACAGGTGTCAGACTCCAGTCCTGGGGGGCCGGAGCCCTGCACATTTTTGGGTTTCCCCTCATTTAACACACCTGATTCAGCTTCTTGTGCTAATTATCACATAGCTGTTCAGCTGAATGATTTGTGGTGGAACAGGGAAAGAACTAAGCTACACAGGGCTGCGGCCCCCCAGGACTGGAGTTTGACACCTTTGGTCTAAAGAATGCCCATAAATGATTTAAGTGATTACACAACCCACATATGTGTTTTCCTGCTCATATGGTCTTATGTATTCTAAATGTACATAATTTTCTTTTTGGAATTAAGAAAAAAAAAAATAGTAAAAACAAATATTTCCATTTATTTATTTAGTAGATGTTTTTATACAAAGCAACATTCAATTGAGAAAACAGGGTCAGACAGTCCCTGGAGCAATCAGGGTCAAGGGCCACGCTCAGGGGCCAGTGGTGACATCACTCTGCCGACCATGGGATTTGAACCAGCAACCTCTGAGTTGTAACCTGCAGAGCCACATTCCGCCCCTGCAGTGTGCAAATACATTACCTACACATTCAGCCGACAAAGCACAAGGATGTGTGGCTCTTTTTTCTCCTAAACCCACAGCAGAACAACACTTCTAACAAATACTGTTAGTCATTTTATTGTTTTATAATTTACATAACAAACACCCGTGGTTAGAGCAAAGTTTCCAAGGTGCTTACACTTGGACTGTGTGCGCAAAGATGTGGCTAGGCATTCCTGTGTTACAGCTGCCTTGCCAGGAATTTGAACCTGCAACCCATTGGTGAAATGTCTAAACGTGTCCACAGTATTAGCTGTGAGCCAAAATTGCAGTACAACAGGCAATAAGAGGCCAGAGAATGCTTGTCCACTTTCCACGTTCACCACAATTCACGGAGGGCTTGCGATCAACACTTAGAACAGCGAGGTCTGCAAAGTGCATCTGACGTAGCAGGGGAGTCACAACGAGTGGCCTTAGCAACCATGCATACATTTCATGCCTGATACACCGAATGGTCAAGGCTACATCAATAGCACACAAAGGCAAAAGGGTAAGCAGGGAACAGAAGCGAAGCACAGGGACTAAGCGGGCATGGATGCATTAATGGCCACCGCAACGTAAACAAGTCCTTCACCTGCTGATGCCACTATCAAAATCGATCCTTTTTCTTTACAAAAGCTATGGCAATAAAAAATAACCCCCTTGCTAAAACAAATACTCTCAAAATAATCTGGACCTCCACAGCCATAATTCATAAAGTCATATTGTCTGAATTCCTCTTAACAAATAAAACAACAATAGATTTGTTTTTTAAAAAATCCATTCACAACTCAGAAGCAAGCCTGAGCTTTGTTCACATTCAAATTAAACATACTTATTTACTTTCCATACAGCTCTGTTCACATCCTAATGGAATTATTTATGTAACTTTTTAACTGACTTTTGTAACATTAAGAAACTGGACATTTTTTGGATGTTCATTTTTTCACAAAAGACTTCCCTTTCCCCCAAATAATTTTCTACTTAAAAAAATCACTGAAGCACACAATGCATAATGTATGTTCGGAGAGATTTTCACAAAAAGCACACAGAAGAATTATCGTACAATTTTAGGCTATTCGTTACACATGACAGCTTTCCTCACCTGTTAAATTACACATTTTGATTTTTCCATCTTTGTAAGTTGAACTTGCATGAAGAGTGACCTGAAAAAAGATCTTTGTATGTTATGATGTAACTAAACACCAAAAAATAATAGAAGTGTAAGAAAAACAAATTGCCCCCTTTCCATTGTAAGTACTGCTTTTTTATAACTTGCCATCTTTCAGTACCACAAGAGATTCATTACTAAACACTGAACAGTCAGTTGGTGCATCACCAATACGATATGAAGATTGAGGGGTCACAGGTGGGTAACAGATGAGTAGAAATGTAAAAGGAAACCTTAATGTATCTAAGGTGTGTAGAGGGATCCGAGGGGATCAATTCCGATCCATCCCAAAGAGCTGGAGGAAGAAAGAGAATATGTAGATGATGTCCAGGTATAGGCTGAGTGTGGCAAAAATGTAGTCTTCAGGACTAATGGTGGAACGCTTGTTTCCCAGAAGAATCTGGGTGTCAAATACCAGGAACTGGAAGAAAGAGAAGGTCAGAGGGGTTAGGGTTGGAGGGTAGACATGATGGATGATTAGGATCCACTGCATGGTGTAGCACAGTTCCTCACCATAGTAAACACGATCGCTCCCAGAACAGCGTAGATGGCATGTAACCAAGGAACCTGCAATGCAGAGGAGGAGATACCGTTTGTAATGAGGCTGGGTTTCAAGTAAGTATAGTCAAGACCTAGATCTCACCTTAGGGATATTTGGAGTAAAAGACTCTACAAATAGTAAGCCAGGTTCCTACCCACATTCTTAAGATTAAGATTAAGATCAAGATTAAGATTAGCTTTATTGTTCCCAGGGAGAAATTCTGGCGCATACAGCAGCAAGACAACAGTGCACAGACGAAGATACATATAGTGCCAAACAGACAAGGTGCAAAGACGATATACACAGTGCAAACAAAGTACATATAGTGCAAACAGATTTAAAAAGTGAAGAGTACATAAATAAATTAAATGTTCTGACAAACAGGAAAAAAAACTAAAAAAATGAACAAACACATGGGAACTGTTGTAGCAGGCAACCAGTTGTAGTCAATAAGGATGGAGGATCGAGGGTTTACTCACATATCCAAACGGGACGACGCAGGCCAGGAAAATGCCACAGTAGCACACAGCCATAGACAGAATGAGCAGCACTCCCTGGCAGGAGGTGAAGTCAATCTGCAGGGAGATGGAGACAGCAGGCGTTCAGAGAGACTGCATACAGGTCAGCACACTCATCCATTGTGCCTGTAGGGCCCCCGCAAGACAAATCCACATGAATACAGGCACACCACACCAGGTACCATACATTTAGTAGGGTATTTTCCCTTTTACATTGACTTCCAGTTGAGTACCAGTACCAAAAGTTGTAGTACCTACTGTAAAGTACCAAACCAACTAGGATACTTTTTTGGTACTTCAGTACTTTGTGGTGAGATTTGCAAATGCTTTCTTTGTCCATTGGTTATGCAAATAGACTGTCATCTTGAAAAAAGTTACAAACTTTTTGTAACTTTGTTATAAAGTTACAAACCAGAAATTAACAAAGTAAAAAAACAAAAACATATTAATAATGGATGCTTGGATAAATTATAATATACTTATAATATACTACAGCCATTATTCAAAGTCAGTACATAATACCCTGCCTCGTTTTGTGATGTCAGTCAGTGTCGGTACCAGTTTTTACGCCAGTGGTAAACCACCACTTTGAAATACCTGTACTTTTGGTACTTTTTTGAAGTACCGAAAGGAAGGTACCTGGCGCAGTGGAAAAGTGCCCTTGGCTCAACTCTGTACAGTTTGTTATGCTTTCATAGGGTTTGGACCCTAACCCTAACCCCAGAGCAGTAACCACATGTACAGCAGACAACCTTACCCACCTTGGTCTGGAAGCTGAAAACGGTGACAGAGAGACAGACCAGAGCTGTGATTCCCAGGGTGACCATAACAGATCTGGTGTTGTAATAACTGTCAGGGGAAAAAAGGGGCAGAGGTCACCTAATACAGAGCCCAGGATGACTAAATGTAAGAATCCATCAGGTTTACAGGTATGAAAATTGTTCCTGGGATGTTAGGATGATGATGATGCACAAGGCAGCTTTTTGAGCAATGGTGCAGACAAATGTTGCTTGGGTACTTTCCCGATGATACTGGCCCACAAATTTCTATTTGAAAAACTTTGATCAGCAGTAGGTAAGTTTTCACCGTCACCCAGCTCCAGATTAGTTGCCCTTTCTCTTACATGGTAGGGGGCTGCACGGCAACATTGCTCAAAAAGTTGCCCTCTGTATCATCACCTTTATATTGTAAAGACGTTTGCTTAGCATCAGGCTTTTACCTCAGCAAAATACTTAACAAATCAATAAACCAAAATCACACTTACTAAAAAAATTCACCAAATATGGAGAAGCTTGGTCTAAATCAGGACTCAAATCTGGACCTCGATTCCAAATCCAGGCCTTGTTTTCAGTTCTCCCAAGTATCTGATTCTGATTGGGCTACAGAGGCTTCACACTGGCTCGTAGGTAAGAAGGCTGGAAAACCAGCAGCACTCGGACCTTGAGGACCATGATTTGCATAGCCCTGGTCTAAATCGTGCAGCAGTTTGTGGCTAATGGTTCTTTTGCTGCGCAGCAAGAGGTTTGGTAATTTACCAAAAGGCAGCAGTGCCAACAGGCAGGCCATGATGAGCATGGATGGTGAAGCGAGAGCAGAGACAGAGAGAGTGACTCCGACTGTGAGAGGCTACCTGGACATCATCGCCGTCATATAGGCGAGGGACAGAGTCTGAAATGGCAAAGTCAGCCGTTACATACATGAGCACACACGCTAGTACACACAGCATGAATATAAGATTTGGTAATAAATGGCAACGCAGCAATTTCAGGGGACAGTCTCTTTCACATGTGCTGTGGACTGATAGCAAATATAAGAAATGTGATATTATTTTTGTGTGGATATGTTCCCACGTGTCCTAAAGCATATTTCAGTTAGGGGATCGCAGGACGTGTGGGGCTCTGTTCACAGCTGCAGTTCCTTAATGGCAGTAGCGATCCTCTCAGGGTAGTGGTCCAAACCCCTCGGGGGGGGGGTCCCTCCTGGACGCGTTCTTGCAGTGACGCTAAAGAGTGTTAACACTGACAGAAATACAACAGCTCCGCATATCAGCATTTCTCAAAACTCTGGGAAACGGTGCAAGCAGGTCACGAGGAACGAACGACCCCCGGTTCACCAAATGGGAGGACATTACTGACCCCTGCAAACTCCCTGCACTGCTGCTCTGTAAATACTGAAAATGCCGTTTAAATACAAACATATGTTTGCATTAAAAGGACGGTGTGCGGATCTCTGTGGATTAGGACTGTGATCGTGAGGTTGCTGGTTCAAATCCCGTGGCTGACAGAGTGATGTCACCATTGTTCCCTTGAGCGAGGCCCTTAACCCCAATAGCTGCCGGGACACAATGTGACCCAGCATGCTCTCTGATCCTCACTTGCGACAAAAGCATCCGCTAAGTAAGTAACTGTAAATATCTCACCACTCTTCACTACACTGTAACAGCACTTAGTGTCTCTCCCTCAGCTCAGTTTGCGGTGTCTTTTTTTTTAAAGCATAATACTACTTCGATTTCTAATTTGTCATGAATTCCATCCCCCTCAATGTCATCATGTGATGAGATCCTTATGGACTCAAAAGGGTGGTGTCATTCAAAGGGGACCAGGGCTGGCCCAACTCTCTTAGGGTGCCCTAAGAAAAATATCATTAACCTAATCATAATTTATCTTCCGTCAAAACGTGACAGGCTGATCAGTTGGGGGGCCCCCTGGTGGCCACTAGGCCCTAAGCAGCCACCTCGTTCACTTACGCCTTGTGCTGGCTCTGATAGAGGTACCTCAAATGAGAGAGAACCTCACCAGTAGTGGTGATACTCACAAAGATGGCCAGCAGAATCAGGTTCCACGGAAAGCGCCTCCTGCAGGAAGAGCAGAGCAGACGCATGCGGTGAGAGCAGACACACTCACCCTCTCTACCGTGACTCACCCGAATCACGAAGCCGAGCTCGACTCGCCCCTCCCTGAGTGAAGGCTCCGCAACACCCACCTTAAGGTGGCACAGCAGGAGAGCGAGATGAAGGTGACACAGAACACCACGCTGAGCGGGAGGAGAATGAATCATCAGAAACAACAGAGCCCAGTTAATCTCCTGTGTGCTACCATTTGGGCTCTGCTGTAACTGGGAACTTACTAGGAAGCCCAGTGCCAGCCTGGGTTCGCCTGGATGTACGTCTTCACTGGCTCGCTGTAATGGAAAGAGGAGACTAAGGTTAGAGTGAAAGTCCGGCTTGAGACTGTATCATACAAATGAACACCTTTCTAAAGTGCTGGGAAACCTCACCAGTAGCTGAAAAGTGCAACGACAGCCACAGCGACACAGAGCTGGATCATCAAGATGGAATAAACCTGGAGGGGGACCAGACAGCACCTTAAAATGACCCAGATACACACCTGAGGTCTTATGTGCAAAGGATGAGAGATGACGTCATCCATAGCGATTAATGAGACCGTTTTTCTGACACGTCTCTAAGTGGTACCTTACGAATGAAGATCCGTCGAATGTTTTTGTCCTGCCAGGTGAACTCTGTGAGCATCTCTCCGTTGCCCTGGTAACCGTAGCTGTGACTCGGGCTGGAGCCTGGCAACCGAAATGACACAGAGTCTAATTATTGAACAATGTAACACCATCATTGTCACAAGTTACCCCACCCAGGATGTCACATTTAGTCACTCTGGAAAGGTATGAATCTAGACGAATGTGATAAGGAAATGTAAGCGATAAAGATGTAAGCCAAGGAGGAGCCCATTGTGAAAGATAAGAGTGCAAATTAAACCTTATTCACTGGCACTGACTTAAGCCCATCCAGCTAAACCAACAATTTCATGGTGTATGACTAACATGACAACCTGCAGTTGCCTCTTCATAGCTGGGTGGGCAAACTGGCAGTGTCCCATCTCCTTGGGGGCCACTGAGTGTCTTGTCTGCCACAAAGACCTAGAGAAGCAAAATCAGCAACAGATATCTCATGAGTCACCGGAGGTTGAGGTTACTGGTTACTTCATCTACTAGACACATGAAACTCTCAAGTGTTTTTCTTTTCTCCCACAAAAGAAGCCCATGGACAGCCACACCGTAACAGTATAACTTCATTCTGCAATACATTTTGTTTGTTCCTAATTTCCTTACAGCATGTGGTATTTAATTGTGCATTGTATTCCTGTGAAGTTTAAACACAGTCCTGCATTACAGTGCAGTTTTGCTTATTTTATAAGAAAAAGATGAAAAACATTATAGAAAGGTTTCTAATTAACTTATTATTTATTGTACACATTCCAAAACTTCAGAGCCTCCAGACAGAACACAATGGAATAACCAATAAAACTTAACAGTGAAACATGAGCTAGTCATATTCCATAAAAACCATGACTGTAGAAATTAAAAGTATCTAGAGATCCTCCTCACTCAGAATGTTCTCACAGAGATCCTGAAAATGGAATGTCCACTTTCCACTGCACAACAAACTGTGCACATGAATATCTATTTCTTTATAAATTCATTTTTATATTCTGTGATTTCATAAAAAATTCTTTACATTTTTGCAGTTCACATTCTGCATCAAATTGAATATTTTTTTTTAAACTGTCAGCTGCCAAAAGTTTTGAGAATGACACAAGTTTTGGTTTTCACAAAGTCTGCTGCCTCGGTTTTTATGATGGCAATTGGCATATACTCCAGAACGTTATGAAGAGTGATCAGATGAATTGCAGTTAATTGTAAAGTCCCTCTTTGCTATGAAAACTAACTTAATCCTAAAAAAACCCATTTCCACTGCATTTCAGCCCTGCCACAAAAGGACCTGCAGACATAATTTCAGTGAGAGTGTTGAGGGTGACAAGGCTGGAGATCATTCTGTCCTGCTGACTGAGTTAGAATAGCAGACTGGATGCTTTAAAAGGAGGGTGGTGCTTGAAATCATTGTTCTTCCTCTGTTAACCATGGTTACCTGCAAGGAAACGCATGCAGTCATCACTGCTTTGCACAAAAAGGGCTTCACAGGCAAGGGTATTGCTGCTAGTTAGACTGTACCTAAATCAACCATTTATCGGATCATCAAGAACATCAAGGAGAGAGGTTTGATTGTTGTGAAGAAGGCTTCAGGGTGTCCAAGAAAGTCCTGCAAGCACCAGGATCATCTCCATTCAGCTGTGGGATCCACCAGTGCAGAGTTTGCTCAGGAACGGCAGCAGGCAGGTGTGAGTGCATCTGCACGCACAGTGAGGAGAAGAGGAAGGCCTGGTTTCAAGTCGGGTAATTTTCTCTGTTGAATCCCCTTTCCGATTGTTTAGGGCATCCGGAAAAAAAAGATTTTCTGGAGAAAAGGTGAGCGCTACCATCAGTCCTGTGTCATGCCAACAGTAAAGTATCCAGAGACCATTCATGTGTGGGGTTGCTTCACAGCCAAGGGAGTGGACTCACTCACAATTTTGCCTAAGAACACAGCCATGAATAAAGAATGGTACCAAAACATCCTCCGAGAGCAACTTCTCCTAACCATCCAAGAACAGTTTAGTGATGAACATGCCTCTTCCAGCTTGATGGCGCAGCGTTCCATAAGGCAGAAGTGATAACTAAGTGGCTTGGAGAACAAAACATCAACATTTTGGGTCCATGGGCAGGAAACTCCCCAGACCTTAATCCCATTGAGAACTTGTGGTCAATCCTCAACAGACGGGTGGACAAACAAAAACCCGCAAATTCTGACAAACCCCAAGCATTGATTATACAAGAATGGGCTGCCATCAGTCAGGATTTGGCCCAGAAGTTGATTGACAGCATGCCAGGGTGAATTGCAGAGGCCAACACTGCAAATATTGACTCTTTGCATAAACTTAATGTAATTGTCAATAAAAGCCTTTGACACTTATGAAATGCTCGCAATTATACTTCAGTATACCACAGAAACATCTGGAAAAAAATATCTCCAAACACTGAAGCAGTAAACTTGTGAAAACCAATACTTGTGTCATTAAAACTATAAAATGATGTCAGTAAAACAATATCAGTCATAAATCCATTTTGTTAAACTTAATCTATGAGTACATTTACATATAGCAGGTGCTTTTGTCCAGAGCAAAGTACAAGTGAGGCTACTGTAATCGACTTAAAAGCCTCAAGTTCTCAATCTTTTGTTTCAGTTTAATATAATCACACTTTTAATATGTCTGTAGCACAAAAAGAAGCAAGACAGAAAGGTGTGAGTAGGTGTTTAATTTTTTTCGGGACCACACTAGAAATACAAGTGATGTAAGAGAATGAGAGCTGACTGCCATCCACTGTTTGCACAATAAGACAAACACAAAGGTTCCAGGTAAACTCACAACCCGTTATGATACATTAATCTGTCTCTAGAAACCTGCCTAATCTCTTGATGTTTCAGATGCAGACTAAAACTTAGTCCTTCTGGTAATTAATTTCCTGCTCCAAAATTCCTGAACTCCTGGCATCAGAATCAAAAGACTTTTATTATCCAAAATGAAACTATTTTAGCAAAACTGTAGCACAACACATCCGCAGTTTATGATGGTCTGTATTGGTATGATTGCTAAAGTATTGTTTCACATCACTGTACTGATTTCATATTTCACTGGGTGATACTGTCAAACAAACAAAAAAACACCTATGTGAACATTAAATAAGGATGACATTTTCTATTTGCCTCATAGCACTCTTTATCAATATGTGTGTGGATCTACTCATATGGCACGATAAACCACAAAAAGTTGTGTATAAACTGATATTGTATAAACGAATATTCGTTTTGTACGAGTCTCAGATTCAGCTCCCTACTCAAACTGTATGTGCTATACTGCTTGATAAACTTTTGTTCTGCTGAGATACGTACACAACACGTCTCAACACAATGAAGTCCAGAATTTGGCTTCATGACATAGACGTTTCGTGCAGATATATTTCAGAATTTACAGATTCCTCTCAATAACGTAATATTTGCAATCAGTGTGTAAGAAAGAAAATATGGCTGTAGCTATGCAAAATCCTACAAGTGTCACTTTAAAATAGCATAAGATATTAAAACAGCCTCATATTCTGCTGAGGCACCGCCAAATACGAAGAATCCCGATGTGAGGATCGATATGGAAAAATCGATTTTTTTCGATCTGAATGTTTCATGGTGAAAATTGATTTTAACGTTAAAATATTGATTTTCATACCTAATAATTTAAATGTTTATTTTATTATGGGGAGCAGGCAGGCCCGGGGAGGGGGGCAAGTACTTTTTTACTGGGCCTCGACTGGTGGGGGCGCCCCTTCCTTTCTGTAGAATGTACCAAGGGGGCCCAAGGTGACGTTTTGTCAGGGGGGGAGAATTCCTTGCTACACCCCTGGGAGCAGGATAAGAACTACTACCAGGCATGGCTGGCCGGGGGGTGGGGGGCACTCTCATGGGCATAAGACACTACTGGTTAGGTAATGGTTCGATTGATCCGCCTGCACATATTGTGATGAGATCCTTATAGACTCAAACAAGTGGACACCTATATCGGTATCGGTACCCTCTCACCAACCTTGGTACTTGATCGAATCGGACCGAAAAGGAAATCAGTGGTAAGGTAACACTTATGTAGCGCTACATCTAGGCTACTTGGACGGGGCTGTTGCAATAGCTTTTGGTATTAAAGCCTATTTTTCCCCTCATATGATTGCAATAAAAACAGTGCTATAAGAAGTGCGTTTTGATGATCGTTACCACCCCACGCTGGCATACACTGAAAATAAAGAGCCTTACCTTCCCCTGCGTCATGACTGTCTGCAGAGTCTGACGTTCACTATCCAAAATATTTATCTCCTCAAGACTGAGGCAATTTTCTTCTTCTCCTTTCTGCTTGTTTATTTTGCTTGGTACTAAATTACAGAGGCGCTACTTTACGGCCAATCAGCTAAGGAAGAACAACTCGTTTAGACTCACCCCGGATCAAACCAACGCTTTATACTGTATCAGCAGGTTGTTCCTACATCCTCCATCACTCCCCCCGCTTCCCAAAAATGGTACTTCTACTAACATCCAGGTTCGGCGGCATAAATGGAGGGCACCACTTCGACTTGAAAATGGGGGCGCCGCTTTCTTGTTTGTGGTTGTGCCAGGTGACGTTGTTATAGTGATGTACTGCAGTGAAGTTGTGGAAGGAGCGCGAATGCATCTCTTATATAATCAAGCATATCATATAACCAAGTAACCAGGGAAGCTTTCGAAAAATGTTATTGAATGAACCTGACAGCCAGCTCAGTTTTAAACACGGTTTTTGTTTTTAATGTCCGCATTTTTAATCGAATCCTCTAAGGTGAAGCTGTCCGTTTCAATTTTTTTGCGCATTTCACATATAAACATGAGCGCTCTGTCATTATGCGTCATTATGGTTATTTTCAAAGTTTTTCTCAGGTTCAATGACAAAGCAGATTTTTCTTCAAATCTATTTATTGCATTGTTTGTTATGTTGTTTACAGTCAAGCCATCAACATACAATAACATTTAAACGACTGTTTAAATGCATAATAGAAATTGTTTATACAAAAAAATACAGTGGGGTCAGTTCGGACGTAGCACAGTGCTCATTTAGTAAATGCACAGCTAAACAATATGCTCATTGTGGCCGTTAATGTTAAGTTAACATTATGCCAAGTCGTCACAAATAAAACAATGCATGGGAAACGGCTTTGGCGTGTTAGTTACAGTGCACTATGCAACAAGGTATTGTAAACAAGCTAACTTTAACTAGATAAGTAATATTTTAATCGCTAATATAGCAGATTCATGGAAATACATCGGTAATCAGCATTTTTGCCGCAACTAATTTATGAATGAGTCTGCATCAACTACATCAAAGAGAATCGCTTTATTTAAAGTGAATAAAATACCCTACTTACTGCAGTTCAACATTAATTGAGCCGCAGCCACACACCTGATTCGTGTGTGTACTGTGTAGAGTAGGCGAGATGAACTGGGAAAGCAGGCAGTGGGCCAAACCACTGTGAGGAAGGGGAGGGGGAACTCAACTGTTTCTAAATGCATTTTTTGCGTTTGTTTTTTTTTTTCTACTTATAATTATTTTAGGTATACATACATATATTTTTCACAATAGATAGTGCGATTTTTTTTTTATATAATTTTTTTGTGGGGCACAACCCTCGGATTGGGGGGGACATGTCCCCTCCGTCCCCCCCGGTATTTACGTCCATGACTACAACGATTAAACATTTAATGTTACTAAGTTCAAAGATAAAAGTTAATAAGTAGCCTATACTGATATACCATTAGGCTAAGTCTAATAAGTATTAACGACATGAGGTAAGATAAATATTAAAATATGAAAATATCAGATATAGCCTACATCTTGTCCTACAAGTTCCATGCACCTTCTTTTACAAACACAAACACTGTCGTGTGACACTGGCCAAAGCAAAATTGCAGCGTGTCTCTCGTTCGAGTGAAGTAGTTAATTCATCTCTTAAATATCAAATACGCGCTTTCTTTTCAGAAAAGTACAGCTACAAAGTGTAAGACCCCTGCACAAATACCGAAAGATTCAAAAGTCACAGTTACCAAAGTTACAGTTTATAGCAAACCTTAAAGGGATATATGGGAGGAGATAAAATAGGCATTCCGTATTAATGTAATTTTAATTAGCGGAATCATTTCGCATAACATACATTCACTTACAAGAAGTATCGATTGCTTGTCTGGGATCCCAGTTTACAGTAGTGAGTTCATCTGATTATATATATATAATATCCTTAAATGGTTGATATTGTAGAAACCAGATTACTAAGCAGGCACTGGGGAAAAACTGCAGGCACACACAAGGGTTAACATTATGACATCAATGACAGGACTGGGGAGCACAGCACTGGGAAGCACTTCCATATAGGACTGACGAGGGAGCAGACAAGAGGCAACTGAAGTGATCCACACCAGGGCTGAACAAGAGATAACACAAACCAAGTAACAGGCGTGATTAAAGTCACACTAGGGGGAGAACAAGAGGGGCAGGAGGGCAGGACATGACAGTGAGAGTCTGAAAGCGTGAGTGTCACGCCAGATGCGTGAGAGCTGGCGGCCCTGGGAAACTCGCCATGGAAACGTGGTGAAGGCATTGAAGTAAACTGGTGTGAAATTGCAGACCTGGAGTTCCGACAAGGCAACACCGCCCGATCTCCACAGTTCTCTCAGCAATTCTCAGTCATTAAAAAAAACAACCCTTGTCCCAGCCTGCGAGTGACACCTATACAACAATGCTTTGTGTGTGTAAGCCGAGCTGCTGACAACACAGTCATAAAAAGTATTAATTTCCAACTTTGGGTCAGCTCGAGTCGATGGGGTGGAAAGAGACAGCCCTTTCCTCTTATATTCATTACTAATGAGTTTTGAAGAGACAATTCCACCGTCAGATTAATAGTTCATTTTCATCAGAGTTGCAAATGAGTCTTGGAAACAAAAAAACCCAGAGGTCATTCTGAAGTACACCATTGGAATTTAAAATATAGTGTTACTTGAAATCATGTTGTTCAAGAAACAGATAATATTCTGCAAAGTAGCGAAGCACCCAGGCGGATGATAGTAATGCCGAAAGCCTACAGGCGCCCTCTAGTGGGACAAATATGCGGCTGCCGAGAACGGTATTTCTCAGATCTCGAACCTGAGACCTCTGTAATCCCACCGTGAAAACAAAGAAATAACACAATAAGTTGTATAAATTAAGTGAAGGTATGCTTATATAAAATTAGTGTGAAAGTGAATAATTAAAATATCGTTCTGTGGTGGAGTTCTATCCTCTTCCTTCAAATTGATTCCACCTATTGCTCATTGGCTTTATCAGGTTCTGGTATGCAAACTCCATTTTTTGTAAATGAAAATTCCTAAATTTACTTTCATTTGAGATTCACTTGGTCGAAAACACACCTTAAACGATCATACACCACATGAACAAAAGTATTGGGACATGCCTCTTTGAAGTCAGATGTTTCATTCAGACCTATTGCCACATGTGCATACAATCAAGCCCCTAGCCATGCAGTGAGGGTTACACACATTCGTGAAAGAATGGGTCATTCCAAAGAGCTCCATGAAGTCTTGCGTGGTAGGATGCCACCTTCGCAATAAGTAAGTTTATGAATTTTTTTCCCTGCTAGATTTCCACTGTCAACTGTAAGTGGTGTTATTGCAAAGTGGAAACATTTAGGAAAAACAAACTCACCCACGAAATGGCAAACCACGTATAGTAATAGAACAGGGTCACCGAGCGATGAGACGCATAAAAGTCATTAATGTTCTGTTGACTCAATAACTGCAGAGTTCCCAACTTCCTCTGGCATTAACTCCAGCACAAAAACTCTGTGATGGGAGCTTCATGGAATTGGCTTCCATGGCTGAGCAGCTGCCTGCAAGCCTGACATCACCAAGCACAATGCTAAGTGTTGTATGCAGTGGTGTAAAGCACACTGCCACTGGACCCTGAAGCAGTGGAAACGTGTCCTGTGGAGTGACAAATCACACTTCTCTGTCTGGCAGTCTGATGGACAACTCTGGGTTTGGCAGATGCTAGGAGAACATTACATGTCTGACTGCTTTGTGCCAACTAAAGTTTAGTGGAGGAGGGATAATGGTATGGGGTTGTTTGTCGGGGGTTGGGCTGGGCCCCTTAGTTCCAGAACAGAACTCTTAATGCTTCACCACAGCAAAACATTTTGGACAATTCTATGAATCCAGTTTTGTTGGAACGGTTTGGGGAGGGCCCTTTTCTGTTCCAGCATGACTGTGCCCCCGTGCACAAAGCAAGGTCCATAAAGACATGGTTGGGTGAGTTTGATGTGAAAAAGCTTAAGTGGCCTGCACAGACCAGACCTCCACCTCCTCAAACACTGTTGTGATGAACTACAATGGAGATTGTGAGCCAGGCCTTCACATCCAACATCAGTGTTTGGTGGTGTCTCAATACTTTTGTCCATATGGTGTACTTAATCGCAAGGGTGCAAAGGTCCTTTCTATCTAGCCACCCTGTTAAGTAGTCTGTTTTGCAAAGTTAATGTTTATGCAATATGAAAACCTGATCTTGATTGTAGGATTTCTCGGGTGTGTCACCAGTGCATAAAAGTTGTCCTTTTACATTAAATGTAAGTCAACACGAGGGCAAACGAGATGAGGGATGTTCTCCTCCCTCGCTTGAGATGGATTGGAATGCCGTCACATGACATATAATAACCAAGGATGGTTCCAGCCTCACACTGGCTACAAAGGTAACCATCCCGGACCTCCTGTCGTGGGGAGTTGTACGCTCCGTTTCATCTCAAGTAATATATATCCTGCTCCTTGTGAACGAAGCAGGCGAGAAGGGTTGTAAGGGACCACTCCCAGGCTTTGGATAAACTGAGGCGTCAGTGCTGTCACTCTAGCTCTACACTAGAGTGCTGATGTTCAGGGAGTCCCCATGCCTGTGTTCCCGCCTGTCTCTCCCTCTTTCTCATGCTGCTATACTCAGATCTGCCGGAGCCTAGATGAATATTGCACTCGATCATTTTGCTTGCACTGCCTCTGGTTTCCTCAACTCTGGCTAATACACAATTATTCTTATTTCCTCCCTCACCCCTTCTGGGGTGTGCTCCATGGAGCACAATGTCGTTGAAGAGTTTATGCCTCTGCAGCCTGCAAGACAACTACCTCCACCTCCGGCAACTACCCTCTAACCTGCCTGCCCGTGGCTCAACACGATGCCTCGCCATCCATCCTGCGGCTGTGTGTCTATTAATCCTGCCATCGTGCATGAAGCACCACGTTCCTGCACCGGTCGGCCGCTGCATTGAGACATATATTTCAACCCCTGTATTAGCTTAGTCATTTCATCTTGTCTGTATTAGCTTAGTCATTTCATCTTGTTTGTTTGACTCATCTGCCGGCCCCTGGAGGATGGGCTCCCCCTGTGGGTCTGGTTCCTCCCAAGGTTTCTTCCTCTTAGGGAGTTTTTCCTTGCCACCGTTGCCTATGGCTTACTCAATGGGGGGTCCTTACGAGG